GATTTATCACATAATACATATTAAATTTGACTAATGATTATCACCCAACTGTTACTTCAGGGGGAGCAAGTTTTGCCGAAAGATAAAAATGTTTAAAAATTGAACAAGGTTGTTTAACGTGTGGTCATTACTACCCATACAGCATAGTGCCATGATAACGTGACATTTAAACATCCCACAATGCAGTTAAAAGAATGCCAAAATGATGCTTATTGTATTTTCGAGAGCTCAAACCACTGAATAACTAAAACTAAAACTACACATAGGAATATTTTTTTCTGTCTTCACATTTGCAAGTGGTTTTGTAAATGTTACAATCTTCTATACAAGGCATTTCATTTTATAACATTCTCTATGTGATATGGCAAGATTAGTGATCAAAACAAATAAACTGCACTAAGTGAAACTAATCTAAAGAAGAACTTGATATTTACTGATTATAAATAACAGTAGCACCAAATACCTACCAATAGAACCTATAAACACACAGAGTACAGGTCCCTTAGATGCTGCTCCCCGCTTCCACTACTACTTCACCCATAGAGCCAGAAGCTGTCTGAGCTAAGACCAATGGTGGCTGAAAGTGATCAGCTGATGGAATCAACCATTTAATTGGACTGCACTGTATGGCTTAGCTCAGGACAGATCCGGAATCTATTCAGCAGGAGCATCCACCTCTTTAGCCGAGGTAGTGGAGACAGGGAGTAGTGGCCAGTAGATCCCACGTAACAAGTCAAATCATTCTAAAATGGTTTAACTGCTTGCATTGGGGGCAGGGCTATTTTGGCACTATAACTACTACAGTGTATTGTAGTGATTCCAGCACTTGTAGTGTTCCTTTAAGAGACTTTTTTTTCGGGGGGGGGAAGGGGAGTTTCATCGGAAACTCTTCGGCTAAAACTATAGTTCTAGACTTGATTTCCTATAAAAGCATTGTTTCTGTTTAAAATCAAGTTCTGATCTTTTAAGCAACAATGTGCTAAAAACTATTTTAATGTTAGTTTACTGTAAACAAGTGTTCGTTTGTGGTAACACTGTTTATTTGTTTCCATGGTGACAAAAGGCAAATAGTTTGATGTAAATGTAGCATAGATTCACACGCTGAGACACGTGTGGCATGCAGACACGTTCTGCTGCATCTTTACCCACGTATGGAGATTAGAATCTCACTAACAATGATAGAGAGTACGTTTCTATTTAAAACTATTTTAACAGTGAATATATATAATATGTTCGATTTATTTTATGCTTGGTCTTTGCTTGGATTTTAAAAAGCCTCCCCCTATTTGTCCTTGAATAGTGAATAGCAGCTTATGAATTCTATGGAACTCACTTCCCTCCTGCGTTAGATGCTCACCCAGTCTCCACTCCTTCAAAAAATCGTTAAAAACCCACTTCTTCATAAAAGCGTATCAATTAAACTGTTAATAGCTCCTGACTTATTCCTCTTCTGCAACTGTCACTAGTCTAATACTATCCTTACCTTTTGTGCCATTTTACCCCATTCCCTCTAGCATGTAAGCTCATTGAGCAGGGCCCTCAACCCCTCTGTTCCTGTGTGTCCAACTTGTCTGGTTACAACTACATATCTGTTTGTCCACCCACTGTAAAGCGCTGCGGAATTTGATGGCGCTATATAAATAATAACATAATAATAATAATAATAATTCTGCATACTCCAAGCAACACTTAATGTTCTGCCCACCAGCATTAAGACGCTCTGTGTGTCTAATAAACCATGATGCATGTAGTAACAGAAGATTCTGGCAAATTCGGATGCAGTCCCCCACCCCCAATTATTTTAAATAAGGCTCAGGGTTCCCCGATGTATCCTCACTCTACAGAACTATGACCTGTATTTTAGGATTTCAATCCCCCCTCGATGAAGGTAAGTGTGGGCCCTGTGTGTAGACCAAGCCATACCCAATATAATGGCTTATAAACTTTAGCTGATCTCTGAAATACTGCCGGGATGTGTACACTGATCAGATTGCCCTGCTAGGTTTACTTTAATGGAAAAAGGGAGGAGAGGGAAAGGTAGTGCCAGTAGTATATGTATATTTGTAAAAAATAAAATAATATAAAATATACAAATACTATAAAATACAATATGAAATGTAAAATACATTATATAAAATGTCCACAGTAGAGTAAAAGGCCACTTGCATGGGAACAGTAAGGTCTTGACAGAAGTAGTTTTCCTTATTCGTAGTCAGTGGATCAGAAAAGGCTTGGTATCCATTAGTGCATGGAAAAAAGAAGAGAAGTTCCCAATGGTGCAGTATGTATATATAGAATATGCTGAATAAATTCAACTCACATTTACCAGAGGTATGACCAGCTCTAGTTTAGCCAGCATAGAGTGGTATTATCCCCACTTCTAGGATATATGGGTAGTATTCGGTCTCCCAACGGATATACCATCAGAGGGACATTTAGTTGAGAAGACTTACTGCTCAATGGACAAGGCGTAGGTGGTATGATCCCCACCCGGGATTTCTTTAGTTTTACTTTAATACCATTACAGCAAACAGACACATGATGAAATCTTCCACGTCCCCGATAAAGACTTTATGTGCCGGAGAAATGTAGTCTAAACATTATTTTTACTGCATTCCGATGATTCCGTGACAGCACAGGACACACTGAGCCTGCTGGGGGAGATAGAATAAGGACATTAAAAAAATAAATCCACTTTCGCCAACACGACTTATACAACTTGGGAGAAACCCCAATATACGAGATGGCGACTGCAGGTCACAGATACTGAGAAGCACGACTCGAGGCTGGGGAAAAGTGGAAGATTTAAACTTTCATTATTCCTAATGGAAGTGGCCATTAACAGGCTCAGTCCGGATGGTACATTCAATTAAATGTGCGACAAATTCCTCAACACTGACTGACACAAAGAATTTGCTGATTATTCACTAAAGTGTGAATTATCAGGAATTGAAAATAAACTCTTTTCTTCACTATACTCTGAAAAGTAGTAAATTTAAATTTGAAAATGTATTGCAAAATTGAGGGTGAAATTTTCAAGCTGTGTCTATAGAAGAGTTGGAGTATTTTCCCAGGTCGGATATTTTTGCAATCTGAATGTCTACATGTAACAAAACCCACTATTTGGCCTGCGTAGATGTCCTCCTCCTAAGTTCACCAACAGGTTCCTGAACCTCATTCATGTTTTCTCTGCATTTGGTATATAAATCTACTGAACACCGACCACTCCCTGGCTCATTAACAACAAAGAAACTACCGGATTATGTGCTATAACCAAAAGCCATGTGCTGGAGAAAATAGCGACCATCTTATCGCACAAACGCAGGCAGAGGGCTTGGTTGTCGAGTGTTTGGAACTCTAAGTCGGACACTCGACCTTGCGAACACCGGAGAAACCATACGAACGCCTGCTTCTCTCTGTGACAAACCAGGAGAGCACTGTTCGGTAGGTTTGTTCGCACGAACAAACACTACCTACGAGCAAGGGAAACCATTCGTCTTTTTGGTCAATTTGGAACTCCGTAAATTGACCAACCGCTACCACTAAAACTGTGGAACTGATTTGGGCAGACACTTCATGAGCGGTCAGTCAAAACTTTACCCCAGTGACAATTCTACTGTATTCGTGTGATCTAAGCATTATTTGGACAACTTGGGGCGCTCAGATCCAGACTATTCGGGGATATAATATTTGTGGAGGTTCCTGTAGGTTTATTATGTATTTTTATGTGTTTTAATATTTTATGCCATTTATGCCGAGTAATGCTGACACTGTAATTTGTAACAATTATGTGGGAGTGTTCGGGGCGTGTTTTCCAGCCTCCTGATTTTATATATAAGTGGGCCAGTTAGCCAGATTAAACATTAGTTTCTACCCTTCATCAAGTCTAGGCTTATGTTTGCGTAACTTGGGCCATAATCACTACTGCGCTTGGGACTCGGGAGATTTATAACGGATATACTCAGCCGGAGTATAGGGGATCCATTACAAAACCTGAGAAAAATAAAACTCACCTGAAAATAAAGCGGCCTGTTCTCCAAATCGTCTATTTTAAATTTGGATTTCACTCTGAATTTTCATTTAAAGGCTGAATCATATTGAAAAACAGTATTTTTTTTTGGTTAGACTGCCTATCTTGGCCCCAACCTAAAAAAAAAAAAGCATAAACTTACCTTGTTACATAGGCGGTGGCATGCAGACATTGGACGAGCTGTTCCCAGCATGCTGTGTGTGCAGACTTCACACATCCACTATGCACAAATTGGACATTAGCCAGTCCAGGCACTACAACCACTTCAAATCGCTGGGCTGGTCATGATGCTTGGAGCAAACCTTTAAGTAAATAACCCTGTTTGAATTCATGACTCTTAAGATTATACTAGGTGAAGTAACATTGTTTTAAGGATCTCTGCTTTGATCTCCAAGATCGAACACAAAGGTTATGTACCAAAACAGATTATTTGGGCTGACAGTGCTACATTACACAAACCTTCTTTCCACCAGTGTTCTTTAACACATGTAACCATTGGGTCACTACTGGGAACCATCTCCAGAAGGACAGAAATACAAAACAGAGCGCATAGTACAATAGCACATGATTTATAGACGTGCCACTCAAACTATAGACTTGCAGCTGTGGTTTTTCCTGTCAATCATTTGTTTGATCATAGTCGGCCAAACGCTGGTAAAAACATTCCTCCCAACACTGACATGGGGTAGAGGTGGGGCTGGAGTGTTGGCATAACTTGCGCTGCTGCAAAAAGTGGTTTGTAATCAAGGACACATGGCACACCCGTCCAGGCCTGTCTTTGGCAAACAATCGTGTACGGAGCGAAATGCCGTCACGCAATGCTTTATGGGGATTTCTTTTTGCGTCCAAGACAGTCCTAGTGACCCAAGACAGTTGGAAGGCAATGGGTGAAAATGTAAAGGATACATTAAATCCAATTTAAAGGATGATATGAGACCGAGAGAAATACAAAATACAAACACAAACTTTGTTCTTTTGTATAAATGCTTCATTTAATCTTAAAAGATTTAAAACACAGTAACAAATGAAAACGCTGAATATATATTCACATATACACACGTATAAAAATATTTATCATAGATGATGTTCCTGCATCAGTCAACCACAGGGGAAAAAAATAACAATTACAAGACCATGCCAACTTAGCAGCGCATGCACAACGGCGCAAAGAGCTACTACGCAAACACGGACATGTTTGTATCCTGATCTTCTTTAGCCATAGTAAAAAAACAAACAAAAAACAACTAGCAAAAAAAAAAACTCCGACAAACAGTACTTATGAAATTGCTACACCAGTCAGCTACCTGTGAAAAGAGATCCTGTGTATCTTCCTTATAAATTATTTAAAAAAAATAAAGAGAAAACAAACATTGAGGGTTGTAACAATATCAGAAATCATTTAAAAACAAAAACTTTGATGCATAGAAATATAAACTATATTCTTGGAGTGCATACAATTAATTAATTCATATAAGTTTTTAAAGTTTTTTTTATTAGCTAATAAATCTCTTTGGAATGTTTTCGAAAGGCAGCACCACGACATATCGCTAATCGAAGACCAGATTCTGCAAAAACAAAATAATAAACAGGAGGATAGTTTCCATATTTAAACGGGAGCAAAGTAAGTGGTACGGAAATTTCTTCCAGACCATTAGTGGCTGAGCAAGAAAAGACGTGGCCACTTTTACAGTTGATCGCAGGTGTGGTCTTCTTTGAGATTCATTTTAGATGCAGGTCATTTGTTATAAATACAATGTAGACAGATCACTGATAAGTAACAGAGCGATAGCACCCACCGCACTTTTGCCATTCAGTATCTTTATACTAAGGCACATTGGAAAAACGTTTTTATTCTTTCATAATATCAAACAATTTAAACATTTTTAGGAAACAGACACGAGGTGCAGCGATGTTGCTTGTCTTAGCATTTAGGGGTCATCTCTCACATTTTAGCCAATCAGATTGTCACCTGACAGACTCATTTTTGCAAGTTATTTTATTTTTTTGGTAGAGTGATAAGAAATGTTTTCAATCACTCTACCCACCACAACCACTGCAGCTTAATGAACAGTTTACTACCATAGGACACTGTGGAAGCAATCCCTCTTTTATTTTTATTATTTGGAGACAGACCTTATTTTTATGTGGCGCCTAGAACCCACAGCCTACTTTTGTGACCTTGGGACGTTACATGAAGAATAATCACCTTCTTTATTGTGTGTTCAAAATACTTGTGTGGGAGAGTAAGATTGGACTGAACAGAATCATCATTAACGTCAATCTGACACATTGTGTTGTGGTTATGGTGTTTGGAATGTCCCTTTAAATATTGTATTTTTCATTAACAATGAAGGTGCAAATTTTCATTAACCACAGACTAAAACAAGCATCATCCTGCAAAGACAAGCTATGTTCACAGTAAAATATGTGTGATGGCTATTAAATGACAAAGTTTAATTTAAAAAAATAGCCACGACAAAATGCAGATCTGGGGGGGGGGGGAATGTTCCTAATCTTTCCCTATTTTGGTTGAAGTTTTGCACATTGATTGTCTAGGGTTTAGATGATAGGTCCCTCGGTGAATGCTCTGCGACACTCATTATTATTGGATTACCTCCAATACCTGCACCATTCCGTGATAGAGTGTCAACACAATAAATATTGACACTTATTATTACATGTTCGTTACGTGTGACAGAGAGCAAACGGACAGCTGATCAAATTGCTAAAATGTAATAATTCTCGTTATGCAAACTCTAGATTAAACAAACATCCAACATTTCGATCGAAAAATATTTCAACTTCTCAGTAAACCCAATCTTATGTATAATAAACTCTTATCTGGTACTCCTAGCGTTAAGCACTGGCTGGAATGATTCACCACCAGTGGGGGAGAGAAGACAATTAATATTTAATACAGTTCCTCATTTAAATGCCACGGACTGACTTGCACATTGATGGATGGACAATACGTTTTTGACTCAACTAATGCATTACTGTTCTTCTTTGTATGTCTAGAGGAGACATAACAGAGGAAGAATTCTGTCTCCTAGTTTACAGCGTGTTTTAAGGTACCGTGTAGCGGGTGGAGAGTAATGGAATGTTTGTCCACAGAGCTCACGCTTACTGCACTCAGCATAACGCGTAGTTTGTCTGCATTCAGCCTATTTCATGCATGTAGCTATCCATGCACAAAATAAGTCAAATAAGAAAACAGTCACAGTACAAGTTCTGGTTCAAGTGACTGGTTCTTTAAATATTACCCTTAACGTCTTAATGGAAGGGGAGGGGGAAATAAACTATACATTAGCAAGAGAATGCATCCTCCCATAAACCTTTGTCATTTTTTTAAATTATATTTTCAGTAGCACAAAACTAAACCTTCCATTTGGAAAAGGATAAAGTAGCAAACCCCTGGAATATACACAACAGACTATTCTCTGCCCAAATTGTCCCCCTTTCTCCCCAGATAGATATGGGAATGTGATAGCTTCAATGTCGCACCCCAAAGCTCTGTGAGAGCCAGCAGCTCTCAGAGGAAGGAACACATTTTTCAAAATAGCATTTTCAGACCAAATCAAATGCCTGCTGCTCTATATAAACAACGTACTAAGCAGAATACTTTATTGTCATGTTTACATGGTAACTAAGCATTTTGGTATTTTGCTGTAAGTAGGAGAAGAGGATTTAAGCTCCACAGCAGTACAACTCACAGCAATGTACAGTGTGTGTGAGTCTATCACAGAGCTCTACAGCAATACAACTCACAGTGAGTGTGTCACAGAGCTCTCTAGCAATACAACTCACAGTAATGTACAGTGTGTGAGTGTATCACAGAGCTCTACAGCAATACAACTCACAGTGAGTGTGTCACAGAGCTCTACAGCAATGCAACTCACAGTAATGTACAGTTTGTGAGTATCACAGAGCTCTATAGCAATACAACTCACAGTAATGTACAGTGTGTGAGTGTATCACAGAGCTCCACAGCAATAAAAATGACAGGAATGTACATTGTGTATAAGTTTTTAACAGAGCTCCACAACAATAAAACTCAACGCAATGTGTCTTTAACATGTAATAACGTATTTGGAATTGGATTTGTAACCATTAAATAACTTTTTTCCCCTCAGATGTTAAATAGGTTGCAGAAGATTATCACTAAACCTTTACAAAATAATTCTGGTCCCATGTAAAACCACACACATTATACTCTCTTTGAGCATTTGAAATGTCAGGCAGAATGCTAGCGAGGTGAGCAATAACTCATTCTGGCCAGTTCACTGTCCGGTAACGGAAGAGTTCGAATAATGGAAATTGGGTTAAGGCATCCTTTGGTCTGTGTGATAACGAAATAATGCAGAGTTTAATTTAATTCCCTATGAAATTGCAAAAGCTTTAAGAATACCAAGCTTGGTACCTGTGCCAGCGTGACGTCCGGGGGGGAAGTAGGTCGGTCATGCCTTTTGGCACTGGTATAAAAAAGCTAACGCACGCTATTCATAATATAACTGTACATCCTTCTAATAAAAAAAAAAAAAAGTTTCTTATAAAATATATACACTTATACTTTTTTTTCTCTGTAAAAATACAATCTGGGAATGCTCAGCACTGTGTACATAATGTAAATATGATCATATGGGGTGTGGCTCAGCAAAACGTAAATTCAAAAATAAAAAAGAAAAGTGTATGTCCACACGGAAGTCGTTCTCAGCATGGGTGAGGACTCTGATTGGTCCTGAGAGAAATTCCTCACGTCTTCCAAACGCTGCAGGAATATGGCCAAAAAGTATCTGGATCACCTTGTCTGCCCCACACGCTACAGTTTCTCCATTCTGGTGTAAAATATCCTTTGAAACCCAGTTTGCAGAGGAGAGTTCAGACAATGGTTTGAAACTGTAATGTTGATTTTTTTAACAAAATAGCCAAGGGCTTTAAAGACTCCTCCTGCTTCCTGCGTCCATTCTGACGGTTTAAACTGCTGACGTAAAACGGGGAGGCATGAAACAAAGAACAGGAAAACTGCGCTAATTAATAAAAATATAGGAAATACTGGCACAACATTTGGAACTAATATGGCTTTTAAAATAAGCAAGTTGCTCACGATCCTGTTCCATGTATAAAGTGGGCGAGACAAGACCCGGACTATTCCCTGACGACACAGCAGAGTAACCGTTTTTCCTAAGTCTCATCCAGGTCGGCTGCCTGCCTTCACGGTTTTTGTATGTTTTTCCCAGAATCCTTTGCATCTGCCTTAATGGCTGAGAAAAAGGCGCAGATAAAGGCGCTTGGGTCTATGGTTTTTCAGTTTTTAAACGACAAACATCTTCCTACTCATCCGTGTCTGGCTTAACGTCGAGCATGGCGTGAAGCTCTTCAGGCACATACCCCAGCAGGCTTTGCAAATCACAAACAAAACGGTAGACATATCGTTTTCCTGCTGTTTTATGTATGATGTTCTTGTCGTAGTAATAGCGCAGCCCACGACTCAGCTTCTCGTAGTTCATTTTAGGCTTGTTTTTTCTCTTTCCCCAGCGCCTCGCAACCTGTTAAAACAAGAAGACAAATAAATCATTACTTGTTTGTTTTTTTACATCCGAAGCAGTAAACGAGGGTCCTGTCACCTACAAAGTATAGCGATAATTCACAATTAACATACGTTTGTTTTTTTGTTTTTATCTGTTAAATATTTCTTAGTACTGTTTACAATACTTGTCAAATCTGATATAGTATACAATAAATAATAAGTGCTGAGCCATCTACGGCACACATCAGACTAGCGTTTCTTGAAGACGTTCTATTTCTGCGTATTAAATACAAAGTGTTCAGTCACTGTACAGTCACTCAGAAACAAGCTGAAACATGGATTTATCAGAACAATTTAAAGTAATTGGAAACATGATGCATCTCTTAAAATGGTTATACTAATCCATGAAATTTGCATATTGCCAAATTTGACCAATTTTTAGGCAATTGATGCCATTGTATTTTAGAATTAACATCCCACTGGGTGGAAATGAATTGTCCCTGTACGTACCTCATCAGGGTCTGACAGTTTAAACTCCCAGCCATCTCCCGTCCAACTGATAAAAGACTGACACGATTTGTCTGTTAATAATTCGAGAAGGAACTGCCAGAGCTGAATGGGTCCAGTTCCTGCAAGGAAAGGAAATAGTTAATATTTCATAAGCTGTGCTATTTACAGTAAAAGGAAGACCGTTACTTTATTGTAAACATTATCACACTGGTTCCCGTGAGTTACTAAATATAAAAGTTAATGCGCACTGATAAAAGTAAGAGGAAATAATACTTCTATGAAAATATACCCTGAATATACATTACTGTGTGTGCCACAGTAATAAGTGTATTGTGCATAAGTGCACAGATACCTCCCATTTAGAAAACACCATGGCCAAGCGACATTCGCCTTTAAAACGTCCTTTAAACGCGTGATGGCGCTATCTACAGTGTGGCAATGCATTCTTCATGTCCGCATGCTCTACAAAGTCCAGCAATAGCTTACAAAAGCGAGCTTCTGTCTTCTACAGTAACCCTATGACCCATGCCCTTAATTGGGTTCAAAGACTAAACCCAGTCAATGAGACTCACATGCTACTGTCATGTACAATGGGGTCTCTGTGTGTGGATGGCCAGTCATGGCGGCCACAGCAGGAGGCTTATTAAGTCTGTCACATGTCAGGAATGTGGTAGCTTCACTGGAAAAAAATCTCTCTTCATTCAGGCCCTTGGAGTAAGGGAGGGGGTCAAGGGAACCCTGCAACTAAAAATATCGACACAAAGAGACAGCACCCTGTTCTGTCCCTGGAGGTCTGTCTATTCCCTTTTTTAGGACAAGGTCTGGTCTCTCGCAAAATAATGAACCTTTTTATATTTTTCCATCAATTGTTAATGCAGTGTTCGGCGCTGACCTCGGACTGGTAATGTCCTGCGTGAAAATCATATTCCAGGCGGCAAACAAATGAGGAACAGACAAGACCTCAGTCTACAGTCAGAGAACGGAGGACATCCCCCTATAGAACGATTCTTGAGTCTTGCAATAAATACATCACTTTAAACCCAGTGAAGCCGAGAGACTTTGTGAACCATGCACACTTTTTGCTTTATTTATCATCCCACAACTATGACCGCATTGACAGCAGGGCATAGGGACAAGAAAATTCCCAGGAAAAAAACAAAATTCTCCATCTAAAAAGGAACATAGTTTTCCTGATATCTATTAAACCGTTCATCACCCCAACATGTCCACCCCCACTGCTCTACATTTAGCCTCTGAAAATCCCACCATTCTCTTTAAATGGCCAGAGACATACTATGAACAGGCAGTACAGTATGTCATTATAAATTATGACGGCAGCCTGATTGTGACAATTAAAGGGGATCTGTTACATTTCAGATACAACAGATCCTACATACAACACAATGGTATTATTGAATACAGCACGTAAAATAGATATTATGCATTCGTGAGACTTATTTATTTTTTTATATTTCCATTAACCAAATATTTCTGACATTACAGCCACTTCCAAGAAATGTGGAAATTTGACTTCAATGGGAACTCTGTTCTATTCATGGAAATTTGGTAAAACAGGGAATTCCTCATCAATACGTTTGCAATGATGAGCAATATGTGTTTCACTACCGCAGAGGATGGTGGGAATGGTTAATTTACACAGGACGCCATGTCTCTGTCAGAGGAATGCGATGCGTGAGAACGTGAATGGACAGTAATTCCCTGCGTTGGCCAATAAGGATGATGCCTGCACCATGTTTGGGGTCTGGAGAATTCTTTACGTCTCCGTTGTATACATATTTGTGGCTTAGCACTACACGAAACTCTATAGTGTGTCTGCATTAGACCTGTTTAGGAAAAAAGGATTTACCCGCGAGGGCTGCTTCCATATGGAACCCCATTAGCTGAGATAGATAGGGTTATTCACAAAACTGACAGCTTTTAGGGAACGGAGATCCAATGTAATCATCATTAGGCTAGTAATCCTGCCTTAGCCATCACTCACATCACAAGAATACAAGGAATATATAGAACTATAGTTAGGTCATTAACCTCAATCTATGGGCCCGATGCTGGTCTAAACCAAACGTTTCCTTAGTTAGTGTAAGCACACGTCTAGTAGCTATCCAGATCACCAAACACCACAACTCAGATCACCTGAAAACTGGCGCATTTTTCTTGTCTTTCCTCTTTTAGACCTGACGTTAGAAGGGTACACTAATTATTGATCTATGGACACATTGATGCTAGCAGAGGTAAAATGCATACATCCCAGGTGTCCCTACATAGGAGGGACAGTCCCTTTCTGGGCCCTAATCTCTCTGTCCCTCTTTTTTCTCCTAATGCCCCTCTTTTCCAGGAGCTCCAAATTGTTGGTGTGTCTGAGTGTATAACAGAGCGCCACAGCAATAATACTCCCAGTAACATGTCTTTGAACTACAATAAATTTGTTTAGATCAGTCTGTGTAAATAAGATATTTTCAATCCACCATCGCGTTATGCAGAAGCCAGTGTCATACTTTGTCCGTGGGATCAGTCCACACATGGATAACAAATGAATTAAATAATAAATTGATGTGTAATAAAGTATCAGGGAATGCATGGAGTTAGGAGTTAAATTCTGCATTGTAAACATGTTAATAAAAGTGTATTTTACAAAGACAGTTAATTGTCGATACTGTCACAGCATTAAGATATCATCTGAGTCACACAGAAGGTGTGAAAGGGAGTGCAGCCGGAAAGCGAAGCACAGTTTGTGAAGTTATCAGACCCAAGATCATGACCCAATTTAACAAACTGCAAGTAGTGAAAGAGAAAGATAATTCGGTTATGTGCTTGGTGAGTAGGTGTTGAGGGCATTTACTGAACAACAAACAGAGACACAAAGGAAACCAGTCTGCACCCCTCCACTGCCATTTGGGAATTTTAAAATGAGGGTCTCAAGATCACTGAAATACAATTCTTGCCACTTTCCATCTACCACAATAAGCTGAATCCGCTGTCTCTTTTTGTATTGTAGTATTGACAGAGGAGAACCGTACCTGTGTAACCGGCGAGGGCAGCGGCCGGGATTACTGGTTTGTCTTTGTTCAGCTCAGCCCTGTCTCTGACGTAGTCCTTGAAAGTGCCTTTGGGTTTATGGCTGGGCAATGCCGGTGGATAATCCTCAGAGTCGAAGCTGTCATAGGATGGGACACGCTGTAGGCTGTTGTATGACGACTGGCTGCCCCAAGATTGTGTGAGACGATCACAGCTGTCATGGCTCTCAATACTTTCAAACGACTCTTGCCCACCGAGTTTGCCTATCCAGTGAAAACAGTCAGAGTTAGTGTACCTGGATACATTACGGTGTGCATGCAATACAATAAACATTTTATTCAGCTCCCAGACTAGATGTTCACAGTATGACGGACATACAAGACCATCAGACTACAAACTTGCATTGATACCTACACATTGTAAGGTGGGCAGCCATGTAAAACTGGTATAAATATCACAATTCAGCCTCATTCAAAAACCACACACTGTACCTACTTAATTCATAAAAAAATAAAAGGTGTTGATCTCGGTTTCTCTAATTTGAAAATGTTTTTGCAAATATAGGTCGTTAAATGCAGGAACCGTCTGATAATCAAAGAGCGGACACCATGATATTAACCTAAATAACTAACATTTCCCCAAACCTAGAACCTCTGAGCGCAAAATGGGTGACCTACATTTCTTGGAAATTGGCAAACGTTGTAACTATTTTCTTTGTAACAGTTAACGCTCTGAGCAAGGCTCACATTTGCACCCTTCTCTGCTACCAAATAATAAGAAATATATTCTGCTTTGCACAATGACACTAACCTTTCACACAGAAATCAGTGCCTGTATACATAAATGGTGGAGTATTTAAATCAGGTAAATGTGAGAATTTCTTTACCACTAGGATAAACCTAATATCATAGGAAGCATGATCTATCCACTGCCTTGTTCTAAGCAATGATGCTGACAAACGACACATAGAAACACAATTTAAAGGGACATGGTGATTGCATTACAGCTGCTGTATTAACCTGAAATACATGTGCCATTGGGTAAGGGCAGTCAGTTTGTATACAATGGTGAGTTATTGACTGTCCAGGAGTGTTTCTGTACACACTGTGTCTGTTTACTACTCTAATCTCTCCTATTGTGCTGACTATTCAAGTATTATCTGGTGTAGAGAGTGCAAACATTGCTCTTGATTAACTAGCAGGCAAACAGACCAGAAAATACTATTTAAAAGAGAAATCAACACTTCACTTTAAGATACATGGCTTTTAAATGGACAAACAATACAGCAGTACCCCAGTTTGAGAACAGACATTCCACTATGAATGCTGGGAACTGCTGCGTCTGCTCTCACACAGTTTACTGACCCCATAGAAGGTTAACACAGTAAAAGAGTTTAAGCATGCGTAGGATAGGCATAAGGCTATCCTAACTATAAGATAAGGCTAGGGACTAATAAAAGTATTTAGAAAATTGGGCAGACTGGATGGGCTGAATGGTTCTTATCTGCCGTCACATTCTATAGAAAGCAAGAATTCAGAGCAAAGTTAAAAACAAGATAAAAATCTCTGCACAGCAGCAAATTACTAACCCTGGAAAGAACAAGATGCACCGAACACAAAGAAACAAACAAACACGGCCTAACAATTCGAATGACAATATCGCAGAATTTGTATATTTTACTATGTACCGTTTAAATGAATAATTATTGATAAAATATATTGATCTGACATTGCTGGAGGGCAATTCAAAATCCTATCTAAATGCTCAAGGCTACTAAAGAAATAGATTAAAGACCACACTGTTTAGTGAATGTATTTCAAAATAAATTCCCCATGTGAATGATTGCCCCCCTCCAGTCCAGTTTAATGGATTCCAGCCACCAGACACCTTGGGCTAATCACAGTGTGTTATACAGCATGGTGCAGTCTGCCTGCCTTTGATGTGGATCGCAACTCTACTCCTGACCTGAGGCAAGTCAATTTATCTCCCCACGCTTTATAAAATCCCTCTGGAACAATGGCTGCCTATGTTTGCACACATTCTGAATAAGTGTCCCTCTTACTATAAGCTGAACTTTCCTTAGTATTAAAGTGCCAGCGATACCTTTATTTAAATGACTCTTATAAGAAATACAAGACTAATCATACTGTGCGATGCAAGCACAGGAAATGGGAGAGAAATGAAATAAATACAAAGAAATTCAGGGGGATTTGTGATGTTCCTTTGGGGTCACACTAACCTATTGCATAGAATTAAGATTTTTTTTAGCACTGATCTGATTTCTGTTTTATTGTCTGAACTTCTTACAGATAAACATTACATTTTATTTAAGATAATAGAGTAGCTCGACCTCCTCTTGTTTAGTACAGAGTGAGCGATGAAATAACATTAAAGCATGCATGTCAGTCAGATGGCCATACACAGACAATTAAACATATTTATATACATACCTCTGCTGATACGTCCTACGCACATGTTGTCAGGAGATACAACCTCCTGCTTGATGGTAAAATACTCGCCCTGTAGCGAATCAGGCTGCAGAGGGTCACGCAAGAGAGAAGAAGAATACTCTGTCTCATATTTCAAAGACAAGAGTTCTTCTGAGCTGATGGGATGCAGAGTTTGATATGACTCAGTGATGAAGCTGGGTTCGGAGAATTCGGAGGGGGGCACACATTGAGCATGTTCAATGCCGTAACCTGAAACAGAGAGGCACATTAGACGCACCTTAAAAACACTTCACAATGTAAACTGTCATCACAGTGAATAGTCAGGATCTCAAAGTGAATTCTAAATTTAAAGTGTTAGTCCATCAGCCACCCAACGCCAGCTAACGTCAATTCTGTCAAATCCAAGTTCAAACCAGGACCGCCAAGGCAAGGACCATCAGAGCCCTGTGGAGACCTAAGCATTTTGCCCCATTACCAGGGAAGCAGCCAGGATTATCCTGGCATCATAACCACTACAGAAATTCAATAAACGATCCTTAGCACACTACGGTAAGGTGTCATGTTTATCACACCAACACATGTAAAAAGGCAATGTTTCGATACAAATGTTTCTTTGTCAAGTCATCAATGGAGAACCGTAAACCATGATCCTATTCCACAACCACCCTAGCGGACTTTAATGGTTATGATGCTTGGAGTAACCCTTTAAGGTCAAAACAGCCGAACTGGAAATATTCTCCGAGTTCACTCTCAATTCTCACTTTAGTAAATATCCCTGTCTGTCTTACAACATTACCTTACTCACTAGCTCCCAAGTACGGGGCCCAAGAAAATGATTTCCAAAAATAAGTGAACAATTCTTACAAAGGATGGAAATGTGTGTGTTGCAAAATTATCCCAATATAATTGGTTAATATGAAATGACATTATTTCACGACAGCTTCAAAGAAACCACTAAGTGACTCTGATCAGATAGAAAGATACAGCAATCAAGGCTTGGAAAAAAGAGACACATTCAATGAGATTAACGGACACCAAATCACATGAGGAAAAAAAAGCAAGGAAATACAATCAGAATTTATTTTCTATAGAAATTAACCCTCGCAGCAAGTAATGAGCACAATGTTACATTCGTGTTACTCGCTAGACTGCCATCCCACAGCCCACTTTGCAAACATGGTATCCGGCCTATTGTGGCAAATAGTAGTATATAAAGAAATGGAAATTGTAGAAAATTGAAATCCAAACAGTTCTAGCCCCAGCTTTAGCCTGAAATTGGACTTTCAGATTTAACATTTCTACAACTGAGCATGTAGTGAGTAAACCACAGGGACTCAAAAGAATAATTAGTGCGAGAATATTCATAAATGCAAACAATATTCATTTCATGGCAATAATCCCCCAAAATCCCTCATAATGTCAAAGCGTGAATCTGCGTTTTGAAGAATCCGTTCCACGTTACTGTACCCAGCAGGATTAAATGTTAACATGCTCCGTTAACTGGCATGGTTCCATTTCTAGACAAATTGCCCACAATGACGCCCACTGACTGGCTGACAGTTTTCTTTGCTGTGGCGCAATAGCTGGCACTCTCACAGCGATGACTAGTGGCATTGTCCACAGTACAGACTGTGTCACTGTGATTTTACACACCAGCTCTCTTCCACATAAGAAAGCGGATTGTGCCGCAGCCATCGCAGACTCATAAACAGGGATTCAGTTGCTTTTTTCATCTCTAACAAGTTTTTTAAGTTTGTTATTTAAAAAAATATATATTTTTTGTGTCTACCACTGTATTAATTACAGGGATGCAAAACTCCCATAACGTTTAACCCCCAGAGTTATGGGAGCTTTTTGGAAATTGCACATTTCTCTGGGCAAAAAGTGATAGAATTTGTGCAAAGTGGGAGGATGTTTGGAATAAACATATAAAAACAAACACAGCAAGTCTGCGGGTTTTCACATGTTTCTAACGATGACCGCAAACAAGATGACAGATACTTACTGATAAAGTAGTCTGAGGTATACCGGGGTTCAGGGTACACTGGGGGCAGCTCACTTGTTTGATATGATTTTGAGTCTTCTGTGGAGAATTGAGAGGCACAGGGTGGCAACAAAAGAGCAGACAGAGAGAGAAAGAATAAAAAAGGAAAATAATTAAAATATTGTGTATTTACAGAAGCAAACAAGCAGGTTTTACTCATAACGCGCTAATTAATGGTTAAACTCACGCAAGGTAACAATGCAGATTCATTTTACATGGTACTCCGCAATTTCTGGATTTAGACTAAACACTGAGTTTGAGGGATTTTGCGCTTTTCTGAGACATCTGGATTTTCCAGCAGAATATCGTGAAATGAAATTATAGTGTTAAATGGCAATTTGTGGCTCCTCTTACACAAGAACAAATTTCTTCTAACAATCGTCTGTATAAATGGTCCTGGCATGGTGTGATTGTGGTATCATTGCCAATGCTTGGACAAGAGCTACAAAACGTAGGAGTTTGCAGAAAAACTAAATATCAAGTGCGGAATAACAGATCTCACGCCTTGGATAAGGGATACAGGCAGCAGAGCAGTTCTTAGCACTTCTAACCTCATATTAAATGTGAAAACAGCCGATCGTGGGGCCAATTTCCGTTGCTTGAAAACAGATCTAGTTTTCTTTTAATCTTGCACGCAGTTGGCGCAGTAGGTGGACCTATACATGCGCATGCTTACTGCACATAACATATAAAAAGTGCAACTGGCTACAGTAACCACCAAGGTTGTAGCCATGCTTTTAATAGCATAGCCCTTGGAAGTCAGCATAAGGAGTCATTGTGGAGCAAATTGCTAAAAGTGGAGCAGTCTCCATGGAAACCAATGAAATGTTCCTGCTGTCTGAGACAAATGTAGAACGTTTCCCCGGAATTGATATTATACAGCGCCCTCATTATATATTATGGATGAAGACTGTTACTCTACCTTTTTGCAGGATCTCTAAGTGCTCCCATAAGATGTCTCCAACGAAATCTGGGGCGAGTTCAAGGAAGCACTCCTTGCCAAGGGCACACAATGCGGCTCCGTTCATCCGAAACTTCTGGAAGTCCACTCCTTTCAAAGTGAATTCATTAACAGCCCAAGACACCCAGTCTCTTACATTGGCATCCGTCCACTCCCGGGGGTCTGCGTGGGAGAACAACAAGAGGGGTGCATATTAAAAGGAGGGGAGCACAAGAGGGGTGCTGTACACTTAAAAGAGGAGTGTGTTTAACTGATTTCAGGATAAGCTAGGGTTAATCAGCAGTCAGTACGCTCCTGTGAATATATGTCATTATGAAATCCTTATATCAAAGCTTGATAAAAACAAACATTTATAATTTGTCAAAGTCAAAAACATACCTGGTAGGAATCAGCACAGTATATTCGGTATTTATGTGGAATATATGATTATAATGGATAAAACAATCGTTCATTAACAAATTCCTCACCTATGGGTATTCCCAGACGCTGCTGTTCTTTGGCAAACCCACTAAAGGTGGCTCGTAACGCCTGTGACATCATCTCCTTACTGCTTGGCGTTAGAAGGGGAACGTCCGCACATTCCATATCTGAAATAAAAGAGCATGGTCAGTTCCACGGGGGAGGGGCCTGTGGCAGGAAGATAAATATGACTGAGTAAATAGTTCAATGCACAAATTAGCCTTTTTTACACATAATTAAAGGAAAGTCAGGACCCAGGTATCTGTCCCATGTCTTTCAGTGGGGTTAATTATAGCCAGGCGGTTAGGTCCGTGTAGGGCATGACATAAAATGTGTATTGGGGTCTATTTTCTTATAAAATTGCAATGGCTCTGTGTATATTTGAAAAGACACCACTTAGACCTGTATAATTCATTTATCAACAGAATCCAGTGAGCAGCCAGCTATCACATACTATAAACCGTAAATAAGCAAATACAATGTTACTTTATTCAAGCGAGGGATAGTCACTGGCCCATTAACAACTTAAATAGCCGCCACTGCCATTTGCCTCTTAAAATGAAATATTCTGATTTATTATTGTACAGCGCTACAGAATTTGTTGGCGCTATATAAATAATAAAATAATAATAATAATAATAATAATTAAAAGGCGCCTACAGGAATCCAGGTCCTATATCTGTAGTTCGTATTCACTGAACAAACATTTTATAGTCAGGGAGCTAGAGAAAGGTATGAAGTGATATCAAGAAATCAATAAATGAAATCCAACTTCACGATTGCCGTCATACATAGTAATGGTGACACATTTTAGGGAAATCATTCCCCTCCTGCTGTCTTAGAACAGTCAGACAGTGTCGCTGGTCACAGACCTGGAACAATAGGAGATATATTAGAACTGGTAACACAGAGAGACCTCTTCACCTCTCCTTCTGACCACAGAGGTCAGATGCATAGACCGGCCACTGTCTCTTATCAGCAAAGTGTCCCATTCATCATTCTCCACACAGTTTGAAAACAGCAGCAAACAGCAATAAGTGCCGGCCAGCCCTTAGAATATTGCCCTCACTATATTCTGTACAGATGTTCCCGCAGTCCGGGTACAGGCCTTGTTTTTCATTCCAAGCATTGTGACAGTTCATACCAGGCCTGTGTGTACGGTGGCCAGCCCGGCTAGTAGTAACACGCCAGATATTAACTCCATATCGTCAGTGACAGTATAACCATGAGAGAGATTTTCTCCCAAGATTGCCCAGCTTTCAACATTCCAGGCCAGACACATACAGCCCCGCGCTGCAGGATAACGTTAACATTAAACGGAGACTCGAGGCACGGCTTCTTAGAATAACAAAGACAGCAAACTCCGTCCAGGAACATTGCGCTGTGTCATGTGAGACTCGGAGACTGGAGCCAAATCCACAACACGAACGCGTATAGAAAGCATGACAAATCCAGATTCACCTCAAGGAATAGGAGTTTGCCAAATGTAGAGCAATACATTCACACGCTATGCTATAGCGTGTCAAATCTCCCACGGATCGGATCCATCGAGAGACCCCTGATCCTGGGACGGTATAATGGCTCCCGAGGACTGAGCCAGGCTGGAAACAAGGCAAATCTCCAACGGATCGTATCCCTCAAGAGACCCTTGATCCTGGGACGGTATAATGGCTCCCGAGGACTGAGCCAGACTGGAAACACTGCAATGAGGCAAAGTTCTAAAGTCAGAGTAACTGCCATGGAACTCAATAGAATGTTACCTCTGACTCTACATCATACACAAATACACGCACATGGTATACAGTATACTCTGTATACACAGATATGCACAATAAATAATACATTGTTAAATAGATGCAGCTTGAAGACTGGTACGATCTGGCTGGAGGAAATATACAACATTTCTGAAACTTTAAACAAGAAAAACAAACCCACAAACATTTATACACCATCTAAAACAACATCCGAGACAGAGCATTAAAAAGAAAAATGTTAAAGGACCACTCTAGGCACCCAGACCACTTCAGCTTAATTAAATCGTCTGGGTGCCAGGTCCCTCTAGGATTAATCTTTTTTTTTTATAAGCATAGCAGTTTCAGAGAAACTGCTATGTTTATAAATGGGTTAATCCAGCCTCCAAAGCCTCTAGTGGCTGTCTCATCGACAGCTGCTAGAGGCGCTTGCATGCTTCTCTCCTATGAGACCGGCTGAATGCACGCGCAGCTCCTGCCGCGCATGCGCATTCAGCCGAAGAGGAGGATCGGAGACGGAGAGGAGAGCTCCCCGCCCAGCGCTGGAGTAAAGGTAAGTTTAACCCCTTTCCTCTCCCCAGAGCCCGGCGGGAGGGGGACCCTGACGGTGGGGGCACCCTCAGGGCACTATAGTGATCCTTTAATGTAATCCGCTGGGGACTGTGCAAACCTTCTCTATGGAAAAACAGCAGTTCTAGAAATAAGAGATCCCTTGTGTGAAAAGGTTTCTCAAACAAACTCAAAATACCTGTTGGTGCTTGATCTTTTAAAATAATATTCAGTCTGGCCTTATTCAATTAGGGCGTCGCAGGGGGGGTACAGAGGGGGCCACTCACTCCAGGGCCCACTCTACGTTAGTTCCGCCAGTGTGCAGCAGCTTCTGTGTACACAAGCTCCGCCCCCAGTCTCTGACCAAGACACACACTGACAGATATACAGTGACTGAGACACATACACACACATTTTCTCACACTCACAAATTGCTATTTTGATTTAAATCCACCCAGCCTCCCTGGTAAAGCTGAGTGGATCTTTCCCTGGCGTCCAGTGTGTCTCCTCTCAATCTTCTAGAGTGACGTCATGTCACTAAACAGCGTGTAAGGGAGCAGAGATTAACTGCAGGAAGGTTACTGCTCCCTCGCACGCCGCCTCCATGCTCCCCGCGGCGGCCGGCTTTAATGTTTCCTGCGCGGCTTAGCAAAGGGCTGACATATGCCAGGCGCCAGGGCGAAATGTCTAGTCACTATGGCAACCTGGAATTTGTCAAGCTTCGTGTATGTATGAGTGTGTGTATACATATATACACGTTTAATAACTGCCCCCCTACTTTTGTCCCAGGCCCCTTATATGCCCCCAAGGCATGATTAGGACATTCTGGAGAATGATCAGGTAAAGGCATCTGAGAAACTCTTTATAAACAGCACTTACACTAAGAAGTATTGCTTCCCAAATGGATACATATTTCTGGTTGTCTAAGGTTGTCTAAGGGATGTTTGTTAAAATAGCTAGCCCATTACTTTTTGTACGTGTTGGGTTTCCTGCGCGGTGGATGGGGGGAAGGCCTTGAAGGAACATATTTGTAATCCAAGATAAAAAGAATTACCTCTGGCCAGTCACACTTGGTTTGTGTGTTCTGATGCAGAAAAGAAGAAACTGCTTTATACTGAGCACTCGGTGTTTAGAAGTGTATGATCAGAGGGTACCTGTCATTTAATGCACACCAGGAACATGACAAGAGCAGAGGTTACAGGTCTAATCAGAAACATTTTATTTACATCAAAACAGGGGGCACACGGCTAACATAGGGGAGAACGACAGACATTGTTTCATTTCTCCTCATTTCTGTATGCTCTCTCTATGCTGACTGCGGGTGCATATCTGTAGATTTAAATACTGTCTGACATCACAAGACATTTCACCTCCGATCTCTCTCATAAACAGAAAGCTGAGTGCAGGAGACTCCTAAGGACACTTGCTGGGAGTTGTGCAATATCTGGGCTAGTGAATGTTATTGGGATAATGTGCTCTGACTCTCCAGGCTTCCAATTACTCAGGAATGGCTGGGGGTGGGGGGACATTTAACCCTACAAGGGGCTGGACATAAAGCACTAAAAGGGTTACTGTTGCACATTATTTATTCTTATTCGGTGATTACACAGTTCTTCACCATTTAGAGTAATTGTAACATCATAAAACCTGCTCAGTTCTGGGTGAAATCCTGTTAATGCAATGTAAATCAACACCCATCAATCTCTGCCAGCTTTAGATGACATTGGAATTTAATTAACAGCCCGAGGGATGTAGATTTAAACTTCTGCTTTCATTTACTTATTTATTAGGTATACCTCCTAATTGTCCCTATTTTAGAAGGACAGTCCCTATTTTGGGCCAAATCCCTCTGGCCCTCTTTTCTATCCTTATGTCTAGGAGCTCTATATTGTTGGTGTGTCTGAGTGTATAACAGAGCTCCACAGTAATAATACTCCCAGTAATGTGTCGGAGTGTATAACAGAGCTCCACAGCAATAATACTCCCAGTAATGTATCTGAGTGTATAACAGAGCTCCACAGCAATAATACTCCCAGTAATGTGTCTGAGTGTATAACAGAGCTCCACAGCAATAATACTCCCAGTAATGTGTCTGAGTGTATAACAGAGCTCCACAGCAATAATACTCCCAGTAATGTGTCTGAGTGTATAACAGAGCTCCACAGCAATAATACTCCCAGTAATGTGTCTGAGTGTATAACAGAGCCACAGTAATCCCAGTAATGTCTTTAAACTACAATAAATGTGTTTAGAAATCAATCTGTGTAAATAAGATACATTGTTCCTGTTTTAAATTACATTTTCAGTTCCGTAAATGTTTATCATTAGATCATGTAGTCACCTTAAATGTCCTGAAATAGCCCCGCCCCTGGACACACCTCCAGCCATACCCTATCTTAGAAACCAATTACTTTTGACTGGAATCCATAGAGTGAGATTATTAACCATTTCAATACCATTGCTCTGTGAATCCCTCTAGACGATCACCGTGTTGGTTTCAAACAGGAATGATCTGTAGCAATGGCTGAATTTATCAATCATATCATCAATCAATCATAATGATCAGCTTTCTGTGCCAAACTAGTGAGTGACCAAGGTACGAACCCCGACCCGCAGTGTAGTCCCTTATTAAAACCATAGCCATCAGTAGCATCACAGCTAAGGTTTTCAGGGAATATCGTACAGCGCTGCTGAATTTGTTGGTGCTTTATAAATAATAACAATCACATTAATAAGGAACTAAACCCAAAAGAAACAAGCTGAAAATTTAGCTCACATAAAGAATTATTCTAGTTCAGCTGTTTCAGCCTAATATTCCAATTATACTTTTAATTATTTTTTAATTTCTGACAACTGATGTTAGTGAACGCCTCTCCCCATAATAAACAAACAGGAACTTACATTAAACCGATAACTCATGGCGGTGCTTAATCTAGACTCTTTGATACAAAGTAAATTTGCCATGCAGCGGTAGCGAGGCGGCCACCTGACTTCAAGGAGGATCAGATTCCAGGCTTGGAAACAAGCGGGTGGTCTTTTCCTTGTCAGTGCTAGGAGGGGATTAGGGAACATTAGCCAAAACGTTACAGCGGATTATCACAGCAGCTCCAAGGAGAACATACAAATGACAGGCGGGCGATGCCGATAGGGTAAAAGCAAACCCCTTCCCTGATGTATGAAGCAGGAGGGTTCTCACCTAACTTCCAATGTTAACCCTTTAGGTACTCCAAGACCAAGAAAATGTAAGGACTGTCACCGTAACATGGTATTTAAATACCCCTGGATCGAAAGGGGTTAAATTCAGAGGAATGGGGGTGGTCATGTGTTTTTGTTTTTATTTTTATATTTTAACAGTAAACCACCATGAACTATGTTGGCTCTACATATAACAATAACAAAATGCCTGGACTCCATATAATGGTATCACTATATGTACAGCCAGATACACGGTAAATAAACATACACACAAATACATGTAAACATGGCTGCAGTGACTGTCACCGGAGCTCAACGTGTGACGAAGAAGCAGCATCGAGTCACCATTCGACAGTCTTTATATCCTCCTCCACTAACAGAAGTAGAGATCTTAGTATTATTAATAACGTGCGACCGGTTTACATCCATGTGCTGGCTCCTTGTACTACAGCATTTAACGTCCCTTTCTGTAAAACACTGCTGCTATAAATAATAATGAAAGAATATTACTGGCAGCTGACAGCAAAATATTAACTGTGAAAAGCACAATTTATAATCAATTCCACCCTGATCACAAGGACACTATTGACGTCACCACGAACGTCTTGTTAGTTTAAGTCTTTATTGAAATTCAGAACTCCCAAATGTCATCATCCTAAAACATGGCTGCACTGTGATGTGCTACGGCTTCTGGAAGACTTATATTTGTCCAAAGTAGAATTGTCTTGGATAAAAATTGATTGGATAAATCTACTATTTCAAAACAAATCTCTTTATACCAGAGCAAGGACACATTATTGGTTATACTAGGTATGTGGGTATTATCGGTGATAAGACACAGCCATATCATTGAACTCTAAAACATGATCTCTGTCCTCTTCCTTGAATCGCAGGTGCTATCATTATTCTCTGCACAGGATCTAACATTAAATGCATGTGAGAAGATGGATTATCTTCACACCTTTATTGGCCAAACTCCACTGGGACGATGTTCAAACAAAACTAGACTTATCTCAGAGCTTGATAAACCCTAAGTGCCCACAGCTGTAACTATTACCTGTTACAATTTATCATCGGATGAACATACATTAGCGTGTATCCCTTATAAAACCACTTTTGGATGCCGGCTTCCTAGCACAATGTATAAAGAGTAAAGAATTGGCTTTTATTGTGTCAATTACAGAAAAGCCCTGAATTCTAACCAATCTTCCAGACAGGTACCGGTTAACGCAATGGAGCAAAGTTCTAAAAATGGAGCAGTAGCCATGGAAACCTACAGAATGCTAAATATTCTAAATGTGGGGTATGTACTATGGACACTGATGGAATTATCAGAAAGATTCCCCAGGTTTTTGTTGGGATCGTTCCAATTTCCGAATGTTGCAATTCTTACAGGGATAAAGAAATTAGTTTAGACAAATATGATGTGGTCTTTATTGGCGTTAGTCTCTCACTCTGAGTAAGAAGAAGGGTAATTTTACTTTGCAGATTTTATCCCCTAAGTTTCAAATATCCATCTGGCTATAAAGCAAATGTTTCCAGTGCAAGTTAGAAAATCCTGCTCAGTTACTGTGTCCAGATACGGTATGGTTAATGTCCGCTCTCTCCACATCTAGAAACTGAGTCACTCCAGTGTAATGTAAGACCACCAGAAGGGACGGTCCTAGTTCATCGTCATGACGTGCATGAGAGCTAAATCACATCTCTGCGTTCTGCAGCCAAACTGACTGCACTTTCCAAATATTCCCACACTGCCTGATTAACCTCCTCCTAGGCCCGCAGCCCTCACGCACAGATTCCCCGCCTTCCCCCCCGCGCAGACACATGGTGTTCGCACACATTCCCTATGTGGGAACCAAACTCCTATGCGGAATGTATATATGGGACCCTTTATGGCGATGTGTGCCGCAAGATTCTGCAGCTGCACACGGGTTAAAGAAATCTAAACATTTATTTTATTTATTTTCCCTTCCTTTTTTCCATGTTGCTTGTGAACAGCCCGCTCGCACCAAACCACTCAGGGAAGGCCAATTTCTCACACCCCCAGTGGTGCCCCCTTCATATGGAAGTGATTACAGTTCTAAGGGCTGACTTGATGGAGGAATTTTTTCTCACAGCCCTGCAGTGCTGCTCCCCAAGGGAAGCTTCCCTAAACATGAAAATCTTCTCACAGGCCGAGGCGCACTGCGATGGCTTCACACTCACACCAACGCCCCTTTCATGCCACTTCAACATGCTTTTATCATATTCCCAAAACATGCCTTAGACATGTGGGAAAAATTCCAAACAAATGTCGCCTGAGAGTCTCAACATGTCCTCTCTGCAAATACCACAAAGCCGGGAGAGAGTAAGTTCCATACACTGTAACAGGACACAGGGAGTGGGGTCAGCTTTGAGCGTAATAGGGGAATAAGCGTCAGAGTTGTGCCAATGTTACTTTCTAGGATATGAGGTCCTGGACATCACACAAGGAGGGTAATAGGGGAATAAGTGTTGGAGTTGTGCCAAGGTTACTTTATAGGATATGAGGTCCTGGACATCACACAAGGAGGGTGATTTGCTTCAAAGTGAGTTGCAGTAACTTGCTGCAAAGTTTGGGTCAAGTCAGCAGTCGAGTCGAGTCTAGTCACTGCTTAGTGAAAAGGTCCTTTTAAAGACAAACACACTGGTAAATATTCAAAGGGCAATTAAAATAAAAATTGAATGATGCAGGGATTAAATTTAAAAAGTATGTCCTCCACTTCTGTAGAAGTACTGTTGGCAAAGCATTATGGGAGATATTTTACAGTAGCCCGGAGATGTACCCTTTTGGCCAGCCTTGGTGTTAGGTTGCCATGACAACAGATAACCAGGGACAATGAGAGGCACTGATTTATTGTACAGTTTGGACGAGGATAGAACCAAAGAGTGTGGTAGGAATGCCGGTTAATCACTGGTACAAACTGCAATACTACCAGTAATACTTTGGGATGGGCCCGAAATAGGGACTGTCCCTCCTAACAAGGGCCACTTGGGAGGTATGGATACTGTACAGTATCTAATATATGGCTAAAGTGAGATCTTAATGTGTTCCTTGCTGATAGGAGATTTGAGCATATCCCCCCAGCCGGTCACTCCAGCAGAGATCATAGCAGCCAAATAGAGCCCGGGGCCCCAGGAACCCCCACAGTGCACTCCAGGATAATTGTTTCAAGTTGTATCGACTGAAATATTTTGGCAAATGTTATAAACAAACAATTCGTGGGTCTTAAAATTCAGCACAAACAGATATAAATGTTGATTCTTGCAACTTTCAGTTGCAACTGTCAGTAAATAACTGACACTGGCACACAGAAATATCTCCTGATTTTACATTATTCTGGCTTGGTTTTTTCAACAGGACAGAACGTGACTAATTTGCATTATAATTATCAGTTTGAAAGAGCAGTGCCCATCTATAACTGGGCACCACGAGCACATGGGTAAAACTGAAATACAATCATATGCTTTATAAAATGCCAACATATACCATAGCAAGTTACAACAGCAACCCTTTAAAAAAAAATAAAAAAAATAAAGGCCATCAATTGGGTCTGCCAGGATAAATAAAGAGTATATATTGGTAATACCGGAAGGGTAAGTAAAATGATGGCATTGTTACATTGAAGTCACTAGAAAGCACTGGCCGCACATTTGTAAAAGCTGACCCCACCATCCTGCACAAGCTATCATTAAACATCCAGCATCTAGAGCGAGTCTCCAATTATTGCTCCAAAAATCACTTTCAATGGCCCATAATCTAAACAGTAATATTGTCAGCTCAGATGTTCTCACTACCACCAGCCATCCTTTAGGCTGGGAGTCACTGGAATTGTGAAGAAGAGTAATCTTAGTTAATAGAACCAGGCTAAAAATGTCTCAATCTCAGAATGACTGTCACTTGGCTCTTTTTATCTGACTGTCTCTTGCTATGAGACACTAGCCTTGATGCTCTCTCTATTGAGACTAAAGTGAGGGACTTGGCTTTACAGACAGTTAACTCTGAACCAACCACAAAGAAATATTTCAAAGATAAACAGAGCATCCAGCCTGCTCGCTCTCTGAGTGCATGCATTGCCTCATCATTACGGAATTCCTCATATGACTAAATGCGTGTAAAATACAGTGAGAACCATTCAGTATCTATATGATGAGAATGGTTTATTACTGGCAATAAATGGGGTTACTGGAATATTTGCCCCAAAGCAGCAAATGACACATAGTGAGTGTGCTGTGCTTCAATCACCTGGATAGGGCTAACTGCATTGCATTTCACACATACATTGTTAGTCACATTGTAACATGCTGCAATATAGTTAGAGACACAGCAAGCAGCTCGAGTACAAGAATACAGAAAGCAGAGATATTATTTTATTTATTCATTTTGAGGGGGAAAATGGAAAACATGAATTCCCCATAGTTCTGCCCTCTTCCAACACAACAGATCAGCAAGCTAGTAAAATATACAGTTGTTGTTATTATTATTATTTATATTGTTATACATGTTCACTAATTTGTAGGACAAAGTAGTGACAGGCAGCATGAGCAGAGACAGGCAGCATCAACAGAGACAGGTACCATGAGCAGAGACAGGCAGCATCAACAGAGACAGGAAGCATCAGCAGAGACAGGAAGCATTAACAGAGACAGGTGACATAAACAAAGACAGGCGACATCAGCAGAGATGGGCACCATTAGCAGAGACAGGCAGCATCAGCAGAGACAGGCAGCATCAGCAGAGACAGGCAACATCAGCAGAGATGGGCACCATTAGACAGGAACCATGAGCAGAGACAGTCACCATTAGCAGAGATAGGCACCATTAGCAGAGACAGTCACCATTAGTAGAGACTGGCGGCATCAGCAGAGACAGGCGGCATCAGCAGAGACAGGCGGCATCAGCAGAGACAGTCACCATTAGCAGAGACAGGCGGCATCAGCAGAGAAAGGCGGCATCAGCAGAGACAGGCAGCATCAGCAGAGACAGGCAGCATCAGCAGAGACAGTCACCATTAACAGAGACAGTCACCATTAACAGAGACAGGCGGCATCAGCAGAGACAGGCGGCATCAGCAGAGACAGGCGGCATTAGCAGAGACAAGCAGTATCAACAGAGACAGGAACCATGAGCAGAGACAGGCAGCATCAACAGAGACAGGCAACATGAGCAAAGACAAGCACCATGAGAAGAGACAGGCAGCATCAGCAGAGACAGTCACCCTTAACAGAGACAGGCAGCATCAACATAGACCGGAACCATGAGCAAACCCACAGAACCGCCATAAGGACACCCAGAATCAATTAGAAAACAATATCAACTGGTAAAGACAAGTCGAGCAGGAGAACGATGAAGGCATGATAGCACGAGGCACACTGCGGGGCTTATAATCTGGCGCAATCACCATGGAAACCAGTGGAATGTTCCTACTTATTGCTCCACGTTTAGAACTTTGCTCCAAAATGACACTTTGTGCAAACCCGGTCCGCTAAATTTACTCCAGTGATTTCCCATGTCAATTCATTGAGCACTGTGTGACGGATAATGATATAAAGACCCCTGTTAGTGTATGAGCTACATGTATCCAGCACAAGGTATAAGCAGATAGAATTTCATAAGGCAAGCTCACAGCTGCAGCAAGAGGTGTGAAAAACCGTTATTTAAAGGGCTCAGCTAGTGCAGCCTGCTACATCTGACCACATTGTCTGCAAAACCAACAGGCCCTGCTGGGTATGAGTCTACGTCTAACCCAAATTACACACATGCAAAAAAAAAAAAACATATACTTCAAGAAATATCGAAAAACTAAAATCCATTTTGGCAAAATATGTTTCTGGGTGTGTGGCCTTCATGACAACGATTAACGCTGAAATAATGCTGCTTTGTGATCCAACGCAGCTTTGGGTTCCAATGCAGAAAATTCATTCACAGCCGAGTCACAGACATTAGACAGATCAATACGTAGGAATGTTTTGAGAGAAAATGCCAAAATAAACAAACACTCAGGATGATGAATACAATTATTGCAATCGACACACGGTTAGCATCAGCACAAACGCAGTAAATATTTGCAGAGTAATTCACTAGTGAGATTTCAAAGTGCATTCAATGAGAATTTCTAATTTAAGGCCAAATCAGTCAAACTGAAAGCGGAGTTGACTTAGAGGATTTTTCCAGTTTGGCTATTTTGACATTAAATTTGAAATTCACTTTTTAGTAAATAAAAGTCAATATCTCTCTAAGACAAATAAATATTTTGTTTTGCTTTTAGGGAGCACCTTAAACATGCAACCAAATCTCACGACGGTCCCTAAAACCATAACTCAGATCCCCTTCACAGCATTAGGACCCCAACATTCCAAGGTAACGCAGTCTGGGATAGAAAATATTGATCAGTAAGTTTTTAGCACAATGGGATAAAGTTTAAGTTTCATGAAATACGTTTTGCGCCTCCCATTTCAGAATGTATTAATTAAACACAAATCACGGCGAAGGACAAAGAATCACACATTTTAGGCCAAGATATTCACACTTGAAAATAGCGTTGAAGAATTTACTGTTTATCAATTATTTGCTATTCCCTTGTCAGTATGTCAAAATCCCTGTTAGTGAATAAACACCAAAGTTTAAGAGAGAATTAACCTGAAATGATTTATCACTTGAGTCTAAACCCCAGGCATTAGTAGCTGTATGTACTAGAAAGATCTGGGTTAAAACGATGTGTGTATCTGGCCTTAAAGCAGCTTGTGAAGCACGTAGTGAAGGCTAAATAGACTGTACAAAGCACCAACACAAACCACAGGTTTATGCACTTAACGGAGTATTAACACAAGAACTGCAAATCTGTGCAAAAATAGCCAAATTCTAAAGTATTTCCAGTTCACCAGACCCTTGTGGCCAATGAATTCTGTCCAAATATGGACTTCATTGATGTCACTAATGCACATGTAGGAAGTCCCACTTGTAAAAGGGACCAGATTGAAGGCACCCGGGCACTCAGGTAAGTGGCAGACTGCAAAGTCTTTGACAATGCCAAGGGCCTCCTGGTAGCGAAATCTGGTTCTCTGCCAACGTGGAGTAAAGACGTTGCTCCTATATTGCTGGGAGGGGTTAATCTATTAAAAATATTATCAATATAATAAAACCTAACTATATAAATGAATGTCGCTGCATGTTCTAAATCTATCACAGCTTCATGGACAGAGGAGGCAGCCTTTCACCAAAACGTCAGCTGTGGGAACAAGATAATGCGCTTCCTGGATAGTGAGACAGAAAGGAACAGACGCTTTCTACTAGTCCTTCGATACCAGGCTGTATATCTGCATAGTGACCGATACTATATATACATTATGCGCCCACCATCACGCATGCAGCCACCACCGGGTAACATTCTTCATTGGCCGGTGATGTTAGCGGTATTCAGGCGTGCAACATTCACACCACAAACATTTTCTGCATCACACACACACTGTGCTGTTCACCCTCACGAAAGTAAGTATCTAGAAACACCACAATCGCTTCTCTGTATAGCCAGCAACTCTGGGGCACAGGTCTAAAGAAATAGGGCAGTAACCATGGAAACCAATGCAGGGCTCCTGAAACTGCTCCACTTTTACAAGTTTCCCCCAGTAGCTCCTGTTGTTTATATAACCCCCAGAATGTAACAACACCGTACCGTGATGCACCGTATGTGATACAGGTGTACAGAGACAAAACATGCAGAATTGTCCCTAGAAATATTAAGTCAAAAAGCAAGATGATTTGTTTAACGCTTACAAACATGTCAGACTTTTTATAAGAATGCAGACATCAGATCTCAGAACATTTAAACTATTTGGAATAACGTTTAATTCGTCAGCTTAGATATTTTATTTTACGTTGTTCATTCAGCAGAGATAAAGCGACTCTGTCACCCCTCCCCCCAGAATGATTAATTTAATTTCATTAAAATCTTTCACATTCACTGTATTCGAATTTCACTGAAATTCCAACCCAGTCAAATGATTTACTAAGTCAAGGTAGGGACTACTTAGTCTCAGTATTTTTCCTCTGCTTGACATTAGGCGGAGTGAAAGCCTTGCGCTAAAGAGGATCGGACGGAAAATCGTGGCAGTGTCCACGAGGGACAGGTTCGGGTAAGTATTTTCTCAAAAAATACCATTACTGCACTTAAAAGAACTTAATGAGAGATATCTGGGGAACGAGTATCCTTGTAGTGTAGATTTATTACAATATTGTGAACATGGCATCACTGCTTTGGGCATCAAAAAAAAGGGTGGGAGGACAAACAAAAAAAAAATAAAATATGAAACTGGCAACAGAACACGTTTCACTGAATGCTTTGTCAACGAGAAAAAAGAAAAGGCGTCCAGTAGTGACGTGAAACTCAATCAGTTCTGAGGTTTATTTAGTTTTGTGGTTGGTTTGTCCCCCTCTTCTTTCTTTTTTGATGCCCAGAGCAGAAATGTTTCAGTTACAACTCCTATCACTTCGGCTTATTACGGTGAGCATGCCATGTTCGTGATATTGTGATAAATCTGCTCTACGAGGATACTCGTTCTCCAGATACCGCTTCGTTTTATCCCATTAAGTCCTTTTGAGGGTGATATTGCTATTTTTGTGAGAATATTCAGAATTGGAGACAATTGCTGCCGGCAAGAACTTGGAGCACATATACTGCCATTCTGGAGTGAGTAATTACTATCCTGCGGCTCTTGTGACATTTTGTACACTGCTTCTCATTAGTTTTTACCAACAAATTAAAAAAAAACATTGTTACTTGTTTCCTTATTTGGGGTAGCTGCACATGCCTCTCCTTTATTTCAGGTAAATATAACCCACCTTCCTTTGCACCCAGCGGCGATGTCACCGTTGGGTGTCTTTGCAAATAATGCAAACTTCAGATGGTGATAGAGCCCCTTTAAAGTAACACCTCACTGCTCAAATACCATAAATAATAAAACATGTACCCCAATGAAAACATGCATGCATTTAAATATGTACTTTTCATTGGATGTAAAGCTAAATATAGCTTACAAAAGCTGCAGATCTCTAGTCTGCAGCCATTGTTGCATTGATCTCTAGTCTGCCTCCCCTTTTAACCCCGCCTTGACTTTCTGCGGCTGTCCAATCACAGACTTCCCAATGCAGCTCAATGAGAAGTCTTTACAAGTCTAGTGCTCTGGGCAATTGCTGCCTCATGAAGCAGCTCCATTGAGCTAACCAAACCAGGAAGTAACATGACCGGGTGTCGGATTCATAGTCAGGGGGTTTAACAAGGTTCATTAATAAAAGTGACAGTTTCTATTGAAATCTGCACTTTTTATAAAATTACAAAAAGAAGACACTTCACACATAAAGCACTTCAGCAAGATAAAATGTGATAGGAGTCCGGAGTGTCCCTCTACTACCAGCAATGACTAAACTGGACACTGTGGATGTCCTCTCAACTGGCTCATCATTGGCATAGACGAGCGAGTCAGGGTCAACAACACATTCACAGAGAGGTTTATTCATTAAAATGGAAGGTGGTGAACTGGTGAGAGAATTATAATAAGAACTTGGTAATGAAGTGGCTAAAACAAAAGGGTTTTAATAAGACGCAGTCGGACATGACAATTTTGGGGCGTAAATGAAATAAATTCTTCTTTCACTATTGGAGATGCCCAATCAAACTCCCAATAAGGGCAACTGAGATGTATTCAACGAGATTGGGGATTTTAGAGATGTGACAAAAGAGATTTTAGGACAACAGATGCACTTTTTTTTTAATTATTTGAGAATAAAGTTTGCAATTCATAGTTCAGCTGAAAAGAATAATATATTTAATATACAATTATAAAACGAACAGAATGGGTAAATGAAAGGAACGGAAACACATGCAATCAGTAAACAGCATCATTAAATTGTATTCATTCTACAATCCTTTGACTATAATGTTCTAAAAACTATTATTTAAAGAATTGTGCTTAGAATGAGATAGTAAAAGATTCGTATGGCTCTTTCGATTTAAACGGCCAGTGAATCTTAATTAATAAGCAGTACAAAAAGCTGAGCATATTAACACGAAATGTTAACCACACTACACCTAAAAACTCAACTCTAGTTTCACTAAAAGTGCTTTCCACTCAGCATGTGTGTGGGCAGGTAAACGCTCTCTACATTCAAAAAAAATCCCAGCTTTGAAGAAACAAGTTGAAAGATAAGGGTGGGGGCTTATTCTTCTGGTGTTCACCTGGGCTATAATCCAATTTAATTGGAATTAACACACAAAGACTATAACATAATCTAATTAATCTAATTAAGTCTCATTGAGATAAAGGGCAGATGAGGTCAGAGAGCAAGAATTCATTATCCACTTCCTGGATCTACATAAAATTTGGACTTTTTTAGCCGCTATTGTCCTGGCCAGGGCGACTTCCAAGAATGAAGACTCTTGGGAATTCAATCAATGTTCTCTGAAAACATTATACACGGCCCGTACACATCAGTAACAAAATATCCATTGCAAGAATTTATAGTATACATATATATGTATTTACTACATCATACAATGTATTCAATACCGTATTTATTTACAATATACTTGTCTTATTTATTTACTATATCATACGATGTATTCAATACCGTATTTATTTACGATATACTTGTCTTATTTATTTACTATATCATACAATGTATTCCATGATATACAAGTATATCATTTAATTGAACGCACCACCATAGAAATCAATATTTCTACCTAAACCATAATAATTATTGTATTGATAAGAAGACAAACACATTTCTTACAGTAAGTGTGAAACATTGATATAGATTTGGGGTATGTTGACTTCCAGATCACACTGCCTGGTAGAGAATTCTAGATTATCTAGATAAACCATATATGGCGGCCCTTGGGCCTAAAGCTGACCTTCTGACCTTTTAAAGGACAGAAAACCAATGTAGCATAAACCCAGCCACAAACCTAATTTGCTGTGCAGTCTGTTGCCCTCCCTTTAAAACATTGCACAGCCCTGATCTAGAGAAATGTTGGCTGAACCTTGGCTGTCACATACTACATTTACCATAATGCTCATGCAATCAGAGGTGTCATAGGAAACACAGGCCACAAGAGCTGAAGGTCCATATGTTGTCAGCGCAGTCTCCAATCTTTGCCGTGATTGCCCCCTGTGTCATCAAAATGACTGGATATTCCCTATGGCAATCTGAACTGTATTGGGACAGATATAACCAACTCGTCAGACACTTAACGTCAGCACAGATTGGCATATAGCGTTCAGTAACTAGTTTTATTGCACAAATAACTTGCTGCAACATGAAAAACCGGCTTAAGAGGAACTGTGTTCGAGATAAGAGCTTTTGCAATCAAGCACTTAAAATATCTATATTTGTTGTGGTCATTTTTCATTATAAATTATTTAAGTGTTCTTTCAGTTTTACAATTAAACCTTTTCCGCTTTAGTAATGTCACCAGTAGCAGAACATAATGACAATATATACTGTGTAAAAGCTGCACAGCGATGGTGGGCTGGAAACATTAGCCTACACTCTCAGCTTATCACTGGCATCGAAGAGCATTGCTTGCTCACTAGAGCCAGCGCCAGAGGAAGACGCAAAGGGGCTAGTCAGACGGCAACACACTGAAATAAACGTTGTGGTCAAATCGTTTAAAAGGGGTTTAACATTATAAGGCACACATTGAGATTAAGTTGTTATTGGGCCTGGAGTGTTTAATAAAACTACATTCTGACAGCATTATAGACTTGTGAAAAGGCACTAACATGGCATTTCATGCAAACTACATTTTCCCATAATCTTCTAGTCAAATGAAATGTTGGCATGTTTCATTCAGTTTCACAAGTTTGCTTGCATCGAACCACAATTTCCAAACAAGTCTGTGAATGGGGGGTTACATATGGAGCCTCCCATTGCAGCAAAGATGGGTTTAATGCTTCTAATTCCTCAAAAGTGAACAAGACAGGCATAAATAAATGCAAAGGCTTGGCCTGCAGTTGTGAGAGGGGCATGTTACCCTCTTTAAACCCACTACTCACCTTCCTCCGCCTTGTACGTGCTTTAGTGATTCGTATGTCCCCACCCTGCACTCCCTCTATCTATACTTTTCATTACACCTCATGTGTGGGCCCTCTTTTATTACAGGACTACCGCGTCGTCGGTTCCGGCACACCTCAACAGACTTTTCTCTTCCTATACTATGCTACTTTTTGTACACTCCTTATACGGCCTTATTTGCCCCTCACACAATTTGTATTAATTGCCCTGCCTGAGATTACAAAGCATAGATTTATGAATCAAAATAAATATACAAAAAAAAAAAGTGACTCTGAGTCAGTCAGTGTATATTTTACCCCTGACGATGGTGCACATGCTGTGCACCGAAACACGCGTAGGGCATCCTTTTCACTTCACAGGGCAAACACTATCACGTTGGTGTATCATACCATGCATACCTAAGCATGGAAAATTTTAATTAGCACGTAACTCTTTCTTTCTCTTTTTCAATCTCTGACTGATTAGGGAGAGAGGCTTTTTCTTAATCTATGCTGCAAGTCCTTTCTGTGAAATAAAACTTTGTATCTTAGGAGATAATTGTAACTAGCTACCATTATACTAAGACATAAGTACCTAGTATGTCTATGTAGGTAATATATGTATATAGCTTAAAGGGAAACTATAGTCACCTGAACAACTTTAGCTTAATGAAGCAGTTTTGGTGTATAGAACCTGCCCCTGCAGCCTCACTGCTCCATCCTCTGCCATTTAGCAGTTAAATCACTTTGTTTATGAACCCTAGTCACACCTCCCTGCATGTGACTTGCACAGCCTTCCATAAACACTTCCTGTAAAGAGAGCCCTATTTAGGCTTTCTTTATTGCAAGTTCTGTTTAATTAAGATTTTCTTATCCCCTGCTATGTTAATAGCTTGCTAGACCCTGCAAGAGCCTCCTGTATGTGATTAAAGTTCAATTTAGAGATTGAGATACAATTATTTAATGTAAATTACATCTGTTTGAAAGTGAAACCAGTTTTTTTTTTCATGCATGCTCTGTCAATCATTGCCAGGGGAGGTGTGGCTAGGGCTGTATAAACAGAAACAAAGTGATTTAACTCCTAAATTACAGTGAATTGAGCAGTGAAATTGCAGGGGAATGCTCTATACACTAAAACTGCTTTATTTAGCTAAAGTAATTTAGGTGACTATAGTGTTCCTTTAACCTACGATCTATACCAGCTAGCCTCAAATAATGTTCACATACCGTAGTAAACATTTATCTTAGCAACCTTTTTTGCAAACAATCTCCCTTTATTCTGCTAAATAGAATTGCAGTTCTGATCACTAACTATTTTCTTGAAGATCCCCTAATTTTGGCCATCTTGAATAAAGCCTATACACGAGGGGATATATTTGAGTTAAATTTTCAGCCAGAGAAAAGTTTAACAGCTTTTGTATTCACTTAGACTCTCTTATTTTTTGTTTTTGGTAAAGTGTATACTTGCAAAATGTTATTTATAAATGCCCAGTTTATATCAGCATTCAAAACTGTTCTTTTTGCTTTGAATGAGGATATTCCATTTTTTTCACTAACCTACACATCTCACCTGCAGATTATCACGGCAATAACCATGGGTGAGATGTAACTGGCAAACCCCATGTAAACCCACACGGTGATGCAATACCTGCAGAAGTAGGAGAGGCCTGCTTACACCCATCAGTGACAGCTATTACCTAGGTAGGACAAATGTGATGCCTTTTGTCATCTTTTTTTTTTTTACAACGCCCTTAACAGTTGACCGCCTAATCAGACTCATTAGTATGTCCTCCTCACTTAGGTTCTTTATCAGATACACATATGCAAACACAAATAATCCCTACTTTTATGGGTTTACATACGTGCCGATAAAATGGACAGTTTGTTTTAAGACTGAAAGTCTTAATTACCAAAAGCCAGCTTTCTACACATTATCAAGCGCCAATCTTGCAGAATGTATGGGTATTTGCATATCTGATGGGCCGTTACACTCTATGTTGATAAACGCAAAGATAGTGGCATGAAAGATTCTCCTGTAAAATTGCAGAATTACTACATTAACGAGTAAGAGAATCCTTTTAAAACCAAACAGTTTGATCGACAATTAAAAGGGAATACTGTGCTATTACGTGAAGTGATGAGTAGGGTGTGATGGGGGTCGGACAGCTCCTGACTAGGAACCTGGAACAGGTCCTACTTGGCTGTAAATGACTTGAGACTCAGACTGTATATTCACAGCAAGATTTATCAATGAAATACAACATTCTTTGTAACTTTAGTATAAAACTGCATAGTTCTCACATTTTGGCAAAGACTCAAAGCTCATTTTTGAGAAAGTCTCCAACACAGCATGTATGGACAAATCACAAAGTATATAGCCAAGAGACTGCACAAAATTACTTATATAGAACAATTCTGGAGAAAAACAAATCTATTTCAAACTAAAACCAGTGACCCTTTCTGCTTACATAAAAATGTTCTACTCTCAATCCCAATAAAAAAATGTTATTCATCTTTCATTCAGAAACAAGCCAGCTATTCTCTCAGACCCAATCTAGAAGCAAGCAATCGCCTATTAAACTATCCAGAAACTGATACTCAGAGTTCCAATCTAGAAATTGGCAAGCTACCCTCTCAGTCCTAAATCTAGAAACAGAAATGCTGCCCTCTCATTTACAATCTAGAAAAAGACAAGCTATCTTCTCAGTCCTACATCTAGAACAGACAAGCCACCCTCTCAGTTACAATCTAGAAACAAGAAAACTATCGCCTATTAACTATCCAGAAACAGACAAGCTAACCTCTCGGTCCTAAATCTAGAAACAGAAAAGCTGCTCTCTCAGTGACAATCTAGAAAAAGACAAGCTGAAAGCTACGCTCAGAGTCTCATCTGGAAATAGACAAGCTATCCTCTCAGTCACAATCTAGAAACAGACAAGCTATCTTCACAGTCCCACATCTAGAAGATATCCCCCATTGCACTATGCAGAAACCAGTAAGCGCTAAATGCAATAAAAAAAAAGGAAAAAAGCTTAGTGGACCCAGTGAAGCATTTCTGAGAAAGTTGATTTAACTATCTATTCATCAATCTGTCTGTAAATTCACACCTGCGGTTATTCATTAAACAAATGTTAGAAAACTAAAATATGAACTGTAATTATTCTTCAGCTCAGTTAGTTACAGATCAGTTTTCCATTCAGATGTTATTTGCTAAAATCCTGAGTTAGCAAACAACTCTATAAAGCACAATGTGGGCCTTACTATGGTGTCCCTATGGCGAACAATAGGGCCAACGCCATCACCCTCTTACATCTGCAGCCACTGGATGCTCAGATCCTCCCCCAGTATAGAGATAAACGGGTATAGGAGACGATATGACATCAGAGAAGAAGTAAGTGTTCAGAATATCACAGGAATAATCAGATTACAGTAATCTCCTTATCTCCAGCCTTTAGATTCATTACAAGGGGGGGGGGAGTAGAATTACCGGCTGATCTCTTAACCAACATATAGGATCCTGTATTACTCAGAGAAATATCTAATAATAGAAGCAGTTTTTATTGCTGTAATTTACTTTCTCCTGCTCAAAATGTGACTTTTCCGCCTTCACATGCATAAACACTATGTAATAACACCGAGCGCTTATATTGCTCTGTGTGTCATGCGTTATACACTATATCTAGAAATGTCAAGAATTGTCATGGAAATGGAAACTTGGGTGAAGTGTCCAAATTGGAAAAAAATCTCATTTTTGGTAACTCACTGTTTTGCCATTGATTCTGTAATTTCATTATAAATTCTTCATGACCCCAGTTTATTGAATAACCTCCCCCTCCCTCCCCCCCCAATGTCCTTTTGAACTGAGATAAAACATTACCCCCAAGCATCACTCTGCCTGAGGACAGTCCACTTATCCACCATCTTTCTAATAATTCTTTAGAAATAAAACAGATAAAGTGAGCTACAGGGTCAGACGACCCCAGCCCCCACACCTCTACCTGGTGATATACCCAAAGCGAATGCCAGGCAGCAGCCACGTCAACTGGATGTTCCAAATATAGAACATGGCGGTTTATAATAATAAGTCAAATTACTACACATTACACTTTAATACGCATCCCTGGCAGGTAGCAGGATGTATGTAAAAAAATAAATATGGTAAAAACTCTTAAATTACTGCCATATGATAAGCAATACAACTTTAGAAACAAATCCATATTCATTTAAGATCATTGGTGAACAAATGGTTAAATATCCCTGTTAGACATTGCTGCAGCCATTGCTTAGAACTCAGATGGGGGAGCAGGGGCAGGGTATATAAACAATGGATCATTTTAGTATCAGGCCTCTAATAAACTCCCTGATAAAGGTTCAGAGCTTGCTTTTAACAACTCCAGGAGATAAGGAGATCAATTGCCTTTCCAGCAGCTAATTACAGCAAGGAAGGTTTATCATCTGATCTGATCCTAAATGGAATATGCTGCTTAACCCTGTAACTGCCAGAGAGACTGTATGTAAATGTTGGGCCCCTCCTTGCTGAATGAGCAAGCCATGAATATCCCATCTGTACTGAGGGAACGGATCTGTCACGGTTTAAACGCTGACCTAAGGCCACCTTTAACCCATGAGTGGCTGGAGGGAGGCAGAGGAAAGCAGGATTAGGGCCTCAATAACTCACACCCTACTCTGACCACAGCAGGACAGATGTTCATCTGCAGCTGCAGAAATAGGGATGGTGGAAAAAGAGCACAAAATAAGGGTTTTTTCTAATGCAAAGACACAAAAAGCCAGATCTGTGTGAATTCCAGCTCCCAGGGAGGCTGCACTGATCTGGGGGTCCCTGTACACAATACAGAATATACTACACACAGGGAAACAAGGTGGGTGATTTCATTACACACACATGGCAGTGCCAGACTATTAATACATATAAACATAGTGCATAGAGATACACACACAGATATACAGCACAGACATGAGATTCACTGACAGACAGACACCATTGTTGGCGCTATGTAAATAATAATAATAATAATTCCATCCATCCCAGCCTCTTGATGTGTTTACTTCCCAGAATTCTACATCACGCACAGTTTAGCGGTAAAGTACTAACAGTAGAGCAATCACCATGGAAACAATGGAATGTTAGTGCTGATTGATACATATTTCGAACGCTGACCCAGAACTAATCTCCCGGCAGAGCCCGGGATACCGGCAGGGAGACCTACAGGACAAATAGATTGCTGGCAGAGTGCAGACAGTCTGAGTATTAGAGTTCTGACAGTGCTGGGAGTTGGAGTGCTGGTGGGGTTGGGAGTTAGAGTGCTGGGTGTTAAAGTGTCGGTGGGTTAGGTGTTATAGTGCTGGGAGTTAGAGTGCCGGTGCAATTAACTGCTAGAGTGCTGGGAGTTAAAGTGCCAGTAGGATTGCATCTTAGAGTGCTCAGAGTTAGAGTTGAGTGTTAGCGTGCCAGTGGGATTGGGAGTTAGAGTGCTGAGAGTTAGAGTGCCGGTGGGATTTGGGTGTTGGAGTGCCGGTGGGTTGGGTGTTAGGTGCCAGGATGACTTACCGGTGCACGGGTAGGACTCATACTCCGGTTTCTCGGTTTTGATGATGGTTAAGGTGGGTTTGATGTCTAGAGCTGCTTTCATGGCTGGTTGAGGTTTGGGGGTCCCCGATCCTGTACTCCGTTTTGGGGGGGTTATCCGCAGGTTTGGGGGTCCCTGTGTTTCAGGCTGTGAGCAGAGAGTGAGCCTCCACCCGCCTGCCTTTTGTTATTCGGGTCCCTGAGTGAGGATGGAGGGGGGGGGGAGGAGGGTCCGGAGTGACAGCAGCTCCGGGGGCAGAGACTGAGCTCAGCCAATGGGAGAGCAGCAAGGGGAGTGCTTACTCACACTGTATGGTATACACTCTGTATGGGCTACACACTGAATGGGGTACACACTATATGGTATACACTATGTATGGGGTACACACAGTATGGGGTACACACTGTATGGTATACACTCTGTATGGGGTACACACTGTATGGTATACACTCTATGGGGTACACACTGTATGGTATACACTCTGTATGGGGTACACACTGTATGGGGGTACACACTGTATGGGGTACACACTGTATGGTATACACTCTGTATGGGGTACACACTGTATGGGGTACACACTGTATGGTGTACACACTGTATGGTATACATACTGAATGGTATACACTCTGTATGGGGTACACACTGTATGGTATACACTCTGTACGGGGTACACACTGTATGGGGTACACACTGTATGGGGTACACACTGTATGGTGTACACTCTGTATGGGGTACACACTGTATGGGGTACACACTGTATGGTATACACTCTGTATGGGGTACACACTGTATGGGGTACACACTGTATGGTGTACACTCTGTATGGGGTACACACTGTATGGGGTACACTCTGTATGGTGTACACTCTGTGTGGGGTAAACACTGTATGGTGTACACACTGTATGGTGTACACTCTGTATGGGGTACACACTGTATGGTGTACACACTGTATGGGGTACACTCTGTATGGGGTACACACTGTATGGTATACACTATGTATGGGGTACACACTGTATGGGGTACACACTGTATGGTGTACACTCTGTATGGGGTACACACTGTATGGTATACATACTGTATGGTATACACTCTGTATGGGGTACACACTGTATGGTACACACTCTGTATGGTGTACACACTGTATGGGGTACAAACTGCATAAAGTACACACCGTATACAGCACTGTATGGGGTACACATTATATACAGCACTGTATGGGGTATACACTGTATGAAAAACACTCTGTATACAGCACACTATGGGGTACACACTGTGTGGGGTACATATATACAGCATTGTATGGGGTACACACTGTATACAGCACCTTGTGGGGTACACGTTATATACAGCGATGTCTGGGGGCACACTGTATGAAGTATACACTGTATACAGCACTGTATGGGGTTCCCACAGTATTGAGTATACATCACTGAATGGGGTACACACTGTATGTAGTACACATTATATACAACACTGTATGTGGTACACACTGTATACAGCACATCATGGGGTACGCACTGTATGGAGTACACATTATATACAATACAGTATGGGGTACATGCTGTATGGAGTACATATTATATACAGCACTGTATGGGGTACACACTGTGTGGAGTACACACAATATACAGCATTGTATGGGGTGCACACCGTATGGGGTACATATTATATACAGCACAGGATGGGGTACACACTGTATGGAGTACACATAATATACAGCACTGTATGGGGTACACATTGTATGGAGTACACATCATACATGGCACAGTATGGGGTACACACTTTATGGAGTACACATTATATACAGCACAGTATGGAGTACACATTATATACAGTATTGTATGGGGTACACACTGTATGGAGTACACATCATATACAGCACAGTATGGGGTACACACTGTATGGAGTACACATTATATAGAGCATTGTATGGGGTACACGTTATATACAGCACAGTATGGGGTACACACTGTATGGAGTACACATTATATACAGCACAGTATGGGGTACACATTATATACAGTATTGTATGGGGTACACACTGTATGGAGTACACATTATATACAGCATTGTATGAGGTACACATTATATACACCATTATTTATTCTGAAATGTTTATTAACTGGAGAAGGTGCTTCTAGCAATCAGCCACACCAACTCCCATCGCTCTCACTCAGCATGTGTGTCTGATCCTTTCTATTTTTAATTACATTTTAATATATGATGCAGGTGAGATACAGACGACATTAGAGTCACAGGGCATTGCAGGTGTCACAAAGAATAAGTGAAGGTGGAACAATGAGGGATGCTTTGTGTTTTTTTTAAATTTATTTTAATATGAGCAGTTAATAAATAGTTTTCATTTATCTGGCTCTGCTAACAGCTTTGTCCCAGAGTTGGAGGATAATCAGATATAAAGGTAGTTTCCTGAATGCCATGCAATTTCCCAGAGACATTTTACTCACTAGCTGCTTTATAAGAAAATATCAAGTGTGAAAAATGGGGAAAATCCCATCACCCAGTACCTTCCACACCCTCTGCACTAGACGTGTGCACAGCCGCAAGAACGTTAAGCTCTGACCAATCATTATTTCAGAAGATAGAACATTTTATGGACATTTGAGAAATACGTCCAGATGTCGATTCAGCTCAGCCGAATGTCGCTTCTCAAACCAAACAAACCAAAAAGGTTAAAAAATATAAATATTATGTATATATTCTGCAGCACACCAATAGGGGAATTTTCCTGCTATTTGGTTCTTTTTTTCCCTCTATCGGTCCATTCTCTGGTGGTCTGTGAATTAAATCAACATTTAGCCACTGCTCCCGAGTAGAGAATCATAATTTTTCTCACCAATTATCTCTTATGTGGGGCAGAATTCAGAATAACACCACCCCTTATCCTCTCCCAGAAAAATATGTTTGGCATAGAGCGGTTCTGTTAGTTGGTAATTCTGGTATATTTTGGCTCTGAATTCTAGAATTCTGCTAAACACCTAATCCGTTTATATTCTGACAAATTGCTGTTTAATCCCAAACAAATCTCCAAATGTCTCCACATATCACAGGAAACACACACAAAGTTTTTGCATGACGGTAAGAGTTGTACTTCCTCCATCTGTCCTGAAGGAATGAAACCTTTCAAACAGTGTTAGGGGTCCCCAGGCGATAGCAGCATTCTGTGCTTTGAGTGTGAGGAGGGTTGGTTCTAATAAAGAGGGGTCCGCAGGTCCCTCAACTTATCTAATTATTATTATTGCCATTTATATAGCGCCAACAGATTCCATAGCGCTTTACAATATTATGAGAGGGGAGATGTAATTAAAATAGGGGTCCATAGGACCCTCAGCTTATCTAATTATTATTATTATTGCCATTTATATAGCTCCAACAGATTCCGTAGCGCTTTCCAATATTATGAGAGGAGGGATTTAACTATAAATAGGACAATTACAAGAAAACTTACAGGAACAATAGGTTGAATAGGACCCTGCTCAAACGAGCTTACAGTCTATATGCAGCCGGTGGCAATTTGATGGTTTTTACACCTCCATGACAACTTACATGCACCATAAGTGTTCTTCCTGACCCGTCCATCAGATAGGATGGTGGAATAATAATATAAATTGTAAGCCAATCCACTGACTAGAGGAAAAATGGGACAGAGTCATGATTTCAATTCCTTAACCCACTGCCCAAATCTCATGGGATCGTGCAAAAGAAAATTCTCTTCTTGGTATATTTTACCACCTGGCCCATGCATACCTAAAGATATTCACTCGTACCCCCTATTCCTGACAGGGTTAAGCATTGGCCACTAGTTGCTCCCTTTTTTGTTATATTTTTTCCTCCATCTATTTTTTCATAAAGTGTGCACTTTTTCGTTACCTATCTGTGCCATTATTTTGGAGCTACTACTATGAGCGGACTTTAATGGAACTATTATTAGGTGTCCTAAATAGGGTTATGCATGAGTTTACACATAAAAAAACTGACATTGTACTCAGTACTTAGTAATGCCATCGATAGGACTATGGACAGTAAGGGTGGTTTAAAATATATGGGTATTGTGCGAGACCACCTTAGCAGGGATTCTCAATCAACAAAAGGGTTAGAAATACCCAAATTGCTTTGTATGGGATTTAACCCCTTAAGGACCAAACTTCTGGAATAAAAGGGAATCATGACATGTCACACATGTCATGTGTCCTTAAGGGGTTAATCACTAACAATATAATGCTCCTAAAAGAAATTAGGATAGAAAAGATGGCAGAGAATGTGGGCTCAGAGTAGGGAACGTCTTTCCTGAAATAGGATAGTTGGCAGGTATGTAAAACGTACATTAAAAGTAAGAGTTCACCAGAGTCAGATTACGGTTGCCCAGGTCCTAGGCAGGGTGTCTGACTGTGACCCACTCCTAGAGCCCTGGGCTCTGTTTCTGTAAATGGTGTGCTGTGTATGGGTCTGAGAGTGTGTGTAGTGGCTGAGTGTTGTATGTTGTAATCAAAATTATTCAACTACCATTGAAAATCAGGTTTATTGTAAAAATGTACAGGCTTTCAGCTGTTTTCAATGAACAAGTCAAACAAAATAAATTATAACAGCTTAACACAGCAAATGCTTCATGTGGTTTTCTCTAATTCAAGTAAAAATGCAGCTTATAATGACTTCTACAGTTTCAAAATCATTCAACCCCCTGAATAGAATCCTTTACAACAGCACAAATATGCAAAACAGGTGTTGTCTCAAGTACATCTGATGGGATTCATTAGTTGCACCAAGTGTGCTTGAGATGGACACTTCAAATACGTGAGGTTTGCTGAGTGTCACGTTTGATTGCATGTTAGAAATATATGTCAAAAGAATTTTCAACACAGTTAAGAAAAGAGATCATCGCCCTTCATAAACCAGGAACAGAATATAAAAAGATAGCAAAGGCACTGAATGTTCCTAGAGACAACATTGGAAGCATAGTTTGCAAGTTCAAAGTTGAAGGAACAGTGGTTAGAAACAAGGAAGTTATCAATGGCTGAAACCTGATTTCTGAGAAGGCAGGTTGTGAAAAACACTGGAGTGACTGCAAAAGACATGCCTTGGTTGCAACAGGCACTGAGGTTTTAGTGAGCACAGTAAGGTGCAAACTAAATACAGAAGGTTTCCATGCCAGAACGCCAAGACGTAAATCACTGCTCACCCAAAAGCACTCCA